AAACCCACCAGCCACTCCTCAGAAGGAAGGTTGGGCAATCTACTTCCATAGTGATACTGCCTCGGAAACCCAAGGAGGGGTCGCTATGAGTTGGGTTGGACTTGACGGCAAATAACAACAACAAGAAGCTCTGGCGGTGTTGTGCCTAAGGCATTTGACTGCTAACCAGAAGACTGGCAGTTCAAATCCACCAGCCACTCCTTGGAAAGAAGCTTGGGCAATCTACTTCTGTAGTGATACTGCCTCAGAAACCCAAGGAGGGGTCGCTATGAGTTGGATCCAACTCGACGGCAGTGAGTTGGGTTTTTTTCAGAGACCACGATGATAGCCTACCAAGCAAGGGTAGTCCAGGCCCTGCAGAACGGCTCATAAGCTAGTTGTGGAGACAATGCCTGTATATAAGATTATAATGATGATAACAATATTCTAGGGTACAAATGAATGGAATAGACCAGTAGTTTCCAAACTTTTTTCCCCCCAGCTCAGAAGGCCCTTCTCTACACTCGGCCCCTCCCCAAGCACACTAAACCTGACACAAATCAGATAATATACAAAACAGATAAAAGTGAGGCAGCTCAGCTTGTAATGGGGGTAGGAGTGCTCCTCAGCCTTCCCACCCTCCCTGACGTTAGCAGGCCCTAACTGCTGGGAGCATGCCCAAAGGGAGGTATTGTGCTCCCACTGGGCTAGCTGGGCCGAGCTCGATTCACCAGAAGAGATGGGATTCATCAGGGCTTGAAAGCGAGGGGAGAAAAGACGTAACACCTGTAAAAAGCTGAATTGGCAGAAGTTGTGTGATGGATATATTTACAACAAGGACCAAAAAAAAAAGAGTAGCTGCTGAGGCTGCTTACGTACAATCAAACACTTCATGGGATTTGGTTCCTTGGTTTGGAGGATTAAGGTCATGGTTTCATGGGACATCCCAGTTAATTGGCCTAATAACATGTTTAGTGCTTCTGTCCTACCTCCCAGTTCCTTACATAGTGTCTGGGGTCTTAAAAGTTTGCAAGCAGGCATTCAAGGCACAACAATTGCTCTTTATTTGCTTGGAGCAACAGAGGAAGGAGGTCTGGAATAGAAGGAAATGGAATGTGTGGCTAATTATCTTCATGAACAACCTGCCTCCTTTGCCATGAGACCCAAAGAACCACATGGTGCCCTGCTACTATTACTGAATTTTTGATCAAAGATTCTATAGACAAGTCCTGATCAAAAGGGGGAAAAAGTAGATTAGAACTTCAAATTCATATGGAATCCATCCATACTTTCTTGAGCCATGGAGGCTGGATGAACCCCCAAAATTAATGCCTTGAGATCGTCTTGAAATCTTGAACCAAAAATATCCCCTGAAGTTTTCTTAAAACCAAATACTAGTTTAGCTTCACTAGTAAAGAATGTCTGCCTTGAGCATTGTGGTCTTTTAAAATCTGTCTACATGGGATCAAACTGACAACAGCAGCTCAAGACATTAGACAGGAACCTTATGGGGGCAATGAGTTTATGTTAATGGGGAGGAACAACTCAGAAAAGGAGGGGAGAGTGGTGGCACAACTCAAAGAATGTAATCAATGTCACTGAAATGTACATGTGGAAACATGTAGAAATTGGAGTCTGTTCTGCTGTGTATATTCTCAACAACAACAAAAATAAATAATTTAAAGAATACAGTGCTTGACACATAGTAAGTATTCCTTAAATATTAGTTATCATATCAACTGTTACCATGTGCTTTGCATATCTGATTTCACTCACTCTTCAGAACAACTCTACAAGGTAGTTGCTAGTCATGTTTTTGAGTTGGGGAAACTAAGGCTCAGAGAAACTGAATAACTTGCCCAAAGTCACAAGCTGATGAAAAACAAACAAACAAAAAAAAAACCTCACTGCTGGTGAGTCGGATCTGACTCACAGTGACCTCTCCTTGGGTTTCCAAGGCGGTATCACTACGGAAGTAGATTGCCCAACCTTCCTTCCGAGGAGTGGCTGGTGGGTACTATGCCACCAGAGCTCCTAGATCCCTGGGACAGGAAATAAAACTTCCATCTTATGATGAAGGAAACAAAGGCTCAACAAGGCTACATACTTCAAAGGGCACTGACCACATGTTCCTTGCTTCATAGTGTTTGTGTACATGTCTTATGTCTCCTACAGGAGTATGGTCTCCTGCAGGGCAAGAAAAAAACCTACATGGACATGTCTTTATAGTTCACCAAGTGTTCACATGTATGTGAAGCCATGTACTGCTGTAAAGAAACAGCAGAACTTCCCTGAATCCTTCCCCCATCACATACACACCACACATGCACTCACTCACGCTCATACCACATACTCACTCTCATTCTCACACACACTCACCCACTGACTCATTCACTCACACACACTAGCCAGGGCAGAGCAGAAACTGAACACTTGTTTACCAAAGGAATAAATGATGTGCCCTCATATTTTGAAAAACAAAGGAAAGGAAATGTCCAGAAGCAGGGGAGTTTCAGCTGAACAAAATCCTGCTGCTATTAAGGACCCTTGCAGCATCGCAGAGATACCACAATAGCCAGCCCTCTATCCTGGCTTCTCCTTCCCACCTCCCCTGAGACCTCCTTCTGCATCAGCATGGCCAGGCTGGGGAAACATCTCATTTACCTGTGGTCCCTACATGCAGGCTGGGATGTCCACATCCCAGCCCGCATCAGGCATCAGGACCCTGGAAAAACTGAGTGGGAAGGTAGAGCACATGCTGTTACCTTGAGGCTCCCTGCTCAGTCTCCTCAGCCCTCAGGAGGATCAGGAAATCCCCAAGGGATCTGAACCTGGGTACAATGAGTCAGCACACAGGTTGGGAGTGCTGCTCTTTCACCGCCCCTGGGATCAGGGGCACTATGACCTAGTTGAAGGCCCACCACCCCTGTGCAGCCAGTCAGTGAGTGGAGGCCCTCACCGCCTGCCCTCCCCTTCTTCTTATCCCTTCCCCCAAGTACACCCCTCTGTGCCACACACAATCTGATGACACTCTGATTTATGACACCAATAGGATCTTTTGACAAAAGGCAACTCTTCTCAGCGACAACAGGAGGCAAACGAATAGAGAATTTTAAAACCCAGGTTTTAGAATTGGGTGGGGCTGGACTCAAATCTCTGCTCCACTAGCTTTGTCATCCTGGCAAATTAATCCTTCTGCTCCTCATTTGCTCATAAGTCAAATGGAGAATAATGATGTCTAGCTTGCCTGACTGTTGTGGAAAAGCAAATGAGATTATATATAAAGAATCTGTCACATGTTCCACCTGGTACATGGTAAGCACATAAAAAAGAGTTAACTCTTACTATCGATTAGAGCAGGGGTACCAAATGCAAACATTTACAGGGCTTGAGTGTTGATGTAAATGAGGCAAGTGGGCCAGACGGGGAGTACGGCAAATGAGAGCACAAGTTTGTGGAGCGTCAGCTGCTGCCCAGCTCTTGCCCATGTGGAGGAAATGCGGAGCCGGTGCTGCCAGGACTTCTGAGTTTTCTTCCATATAAGCTGGACATGTGGATTTTTATATGAAAATTTTCCAAGTTTGGAATGTGACAATTAACTTAAAATTTGAAAAGCATTTGTGAGGGCTAGACAAAATCCAGCTCACGGGCCACCAGCTTACAACCTGGAAGGAAGAGGGTGAGCTTTCACAGGTAGAGGCAACGGCTTCTGTTTCTACTGTCCCTGCACAGAGCTCAGCCAGTACTTCCGAAAGATGGGCGAACCCTCCAACTGACCACCGCCTTGCTCTCTCTGCTGGGTGGGGGAAGGGGCTTAAGAACTTCCAAGGGATGGGGAGGAGGTGGGGTAGGGCTCAGGCTCTGGATAAAAGTCAAAAGGTTCTGCTGGTTATGCTCTTTCCAAGAACTATCTATAAGGGATCAAACTGACAACAGCAACTCAAAGGTTAGAAAGGAAGCCTTTGGGCAGTGAGTTTATATTAATGGCAGAGGAATCATTTAGAAAAGGAGGGTGAGGAAGGTTGTGCAACTAAAAGAAGGTCATCAATGTCACGGACTTGTACATGTAGAAGTTGTTAAATTGGTACATGCCTTCAAGTATAATTTTCTTGTTTTTCAAGATTTGTTTAAATATAAAAATAAATAAATAAAAGCTTCTGCTGGCAGATCTTTGGTAACAGAAGAACAGAGGCGTGAATTTCCAACTTGCTCAGCCCAGTCATGGTTCAGGAAAACCGGAGTGAATGGGGCCCATCACACATGGGGGACAAAGAGGCAGAGAGCACAGGGGCCTCTCATAGAGCTGGGGGAAAGTTCAGGCCATGTGTGTGCAGGGGACGCAGGGAGGAATCTACCTTGCTAGCCAGTGACAGGCAGGGGCGAGGGGCCCGTCGGGGACTTTCGAGCTTGACGATGCTGATGAATCCGGGCTCCAGGTTGTCATCATCACTGGCATTGCACAGGTACAGGGGGTGGGACTGCAGAGAAACGAAGAGAAAATAACTTGGGTTAGGGAGGCTCACACGAGCAGAAGGAGGGAGCCATGAGTGTGAAACACTTCTGTGCTGTGCTGGGCAGGTCTCTGGGTACCATGAGAGAGTAGGCCTAACCAGTATGTTGCCTCAGCATAGGCTAGTCACCATTCCCTGTCCTTTCAATGGTTTGGGGGACAAGGATATAGGGAGGTGACGACCTAAATGAAGAGCCTACTGCAAAGCCACTCCAGAAACCCTCAAGCCCTGGTTTTGCAAACTGGCCAATACCCAAGTCTTCTCTCTTGGTAACAGCCTCTCTCACCTCTTGATTCTTCTACCTGCTCCCAAAACTGCAGGCTGAGAGAATAGCCATGTGTTCCCACATCAGTGCCTGAAGAATCTTGTCCTTCCTCTCCTTGCTCCTGAGGGGATGTCAGAGCCTCCAGTCTCCTTGGGATGCCCCAGTCAGCCACTGCCTGTAGATTCCAGCCTCCTATGTGACTTGGACCTTCTCACTCAGCGTTACCTTGTCCCTCTCAATATCCCCCTGCACCTTTGCCCTCTGCCTATGCTGGGATTAAGCAAGGTGGTGACAGAGGAAAGAGACTATTTTGGGATGAGGCCTGGCTAACACTGAAGCCGTGAACAGCATGATTCCTAGGAGCTCATCCTGTTTCTAGCAAGGACCAATGGGGACAGAGCCAGCTCCGCCCATCTGCTCTGAGCCCAGCAGAGGATTCTGAGGGTATGGCAGGTTCAGGCCAAGACCCTGTGCCTTTATCCATCTGGTGCTGAGCAATGACTAACAGGGAAGTGGACCCAACAGGTACTAACATGACCTATATATGGGCCCCCTTTCCCCACCACCAAAGAGATGGATCTGCCCTTCTATATACTCTCCTCTCATTCAAGATGAGTCTAATATTCATCTGAATTTTCTTTTTTCCTGAATAAAATGTCCGAGTGCTGTGAGAACAAAGTATGATTTACTTGAATAACCCTATGGGCCAGGGACCCCAGTATACCCCAGCAAGAAAGGGAATTTCCTACTAGGGAGCTGCCCATGCTTCCCTCTCCACTGCTGCTGAAGACTCAGAAACAACCCAGAGAAGCAAGAAGGAATCTTGAATTTATGAAGATGTCTGTGAGGATGATAATATCAAGGACGAATTTAAAAGCACAACCACTTTTTGAAAGCACTTTCAGGCTATTTCCTCTCACTGTATCACTGCAGTTCTTTGAACATAGTAGGTTCTCAAAAATACATGCTACCTTGCTTTGAATTATATTCTTAGGAATAAAAATCTTTGGTCGGGGGTATTGAAATGGAAGGGAGCTCATTCTTGCTCCTGGAATTCAAGGACCACTAGTCTGGTAGTGATCGAAGTTTAGCGGGAACCACTTGTCCCCAGAGAAAGGATAAGTACAAGGTTGAGGGCTAGTCTCACTTCAGTGGGGCTATAGCCCCTGTCTCAACACCATTTGCCTATCAATCTGTTCACCCATCTAACCATACATCCCTTCATTTATTCATTCTATCAACACTGGAAGTTCACTTGGTGCCAGACACTGTACCCAGACATTGAAAATTCAAAGATGAGTATGATAGGCTCCTTGCCTTAAAGGAGAAACACATCATACTGTGATGTTATGATGCAGGTTTGTTTGAGGGTTTATGGGAGGTCATGAGAAGAGGGGATTAACAATCCCAGCTTGGAGAGCAGAGACATCGCATGAGGTGACTTGAGAACTTCTTTGGCTGTTGAATAGGTATGTATGTGCTCACCCAGTGGACCAAAAGAGTGGGGTGGAATTCCTGGCAGAGGAAGCAGCCTATGCCAAGGCACAGAGGCACAGGGCTCGGGGGACTACAGGCAGTTTGGTGTAGTGTCAAAGAGGAGGAAGGAGATGAAGTTGGCAAGGCCTGCAGGAGTCAGACCATGGAGGACGAATGCGGAAGGCCCCCTCTGGGCTGCAGAGGACACGCTTGTGGGAGTCCGCGGTCAGCTGCACCAACAGAACAAGAGATGTGGGACTTTCCTTCAAGGACAAATTGTAGTCCTGAAGTCCACTGCTTTGCTTGCCCACCCTCCTCCCCACTTTATCCTGAGGCCCAGCTTTTTTTTTTTTTTTTAATTTAAATTGTATTGTTATTTGGGTGCAAATTTACAAAGCAGAGTAGTTTTCTCCTCAACAGTCCATACACATTTGATTTCAAGGCCCCATTATAATCCCCAACCATAAAAAGCTCTCCTCCCTGTGACTATCCCCGCCTCCCCCCCCCTTATCTATGCATTCCTGTCTGCCCAGCTTTCCCTCTATGTGAAAGCTGTCACTGTGATGTCTCATAGTTGATTGATCTAAGGGGTGCATCTCCCTGGGGTAGGTGTTCTGCTTGTAGGTCTTTCTACTGTTGGGCTGAGAGCTAATCCAGGGAAGTGAGTCCATTTCCAGGCCTGAAAGACAGCTTGGGGACATAGTCTTGGGGGCTCCACCCATCTCCATCTGACCAGTTATTCTGGTCATTTTTGTGTTTTTGGATTTCATTCCACATTTTTCCTCCCACTCTACCCAGGATCTCCAATTTTGATGCCTTTCTGAGTGGTTGGTGTTGGTAGCTGGGCACCATCTAGTTCTTCTGGTCTCAGGGTTCTCAAGGCCTCAGCTTTCTCATGATGACTCCAAGACTCCAGTGAGAGAGGTAAAGTCACTTTGAAGAGAAGGGTCACTTTTAGAGAAGGATTTCTACCTAGGCCTTAAGCCTCAGATCTTAGCAGATGGAATCAGCATTAACAGGTAGAGAGAAACAAAAGTAGATGACAGAGTCACTAGACTTCCCCGGTCCTGAACTAACTGCTATGGAAGGGAGAAAAGGAAGAAACTAACCATTAGTAAATGCATGCCTGTGTTAGGGGCTTTACATCTTATCTTTCTATGAGGTAGGTGTTATCATCCCCATATAAAGAAGTGAAGCTTGAGACTCAGAGAAGTTAAGGTTACATATGATTAGAACCCAGTTCTTTCTGACTCCATCCCCTTAATAGTCATGTAACTTCAAATGAATACACAGTCAACTCTCTATTGTCCATCCTGATAATGTCTGTCCTAATGAGGATGATGGTGATGATTACTTTACATACACTGAGTAAATACCATGGGCCAGTGATAATTCTAAGTATATTTGTGTATTAACACTTTTCATCTACACAACATCCCTAGAAGTAGAAATGATCTCCCTATATGAAAGATGAGGAAACTGAGGCACTGAAAGGCTGAGTAGCATGCCCAAGATCACACATTAGTAAGTGGCAGAGATCAGTAGAATGTAAAGAAGTAGTAGGATAAGCAAAAAAACAAATAACTTAAGGACATTTTCACTTGACTTTTTTTTTTTTTTTTTTTTAAATTGTGATTTGGGTGAAAGAGTACAGAGCAAATTCATCTTCCATACAGCAGTTCACATACACTTTGTCTCATGACATTGATGGCAATTTCCCACAATGCAACAGCTCCCCTTCCATTCCCTCCTCATACTTACCTCTTTCCTAGATCCTTCCCTCTCATGCACTCCTGCCCCCAAGCTGTCTCCCTGTGCATAAACAGCCCTTCTATTCTCCCAAGATTGATTCCTCCAAGGAATGTATCTACCTAATGTAAATGTTCAGCTCATATGCCTGTCTTTTGTTTGGCTGGAAGCCACAGGAGTGGGTTCAATTCCAGACCTAAAGGGTGCTAGGGGCCATAGTCTCAGTGATTCCATCAGGTTCTACCAGACCAGCAAACTTAGTCCCCCCCCCCCTTTTTTTTTTAAATGATTTTGAATTTTATTCCACCTTGTTCTCCCATCTATCCAGGATCTCCTACATAGTTCCCCCTATAAGTGGTTGACAGCATTTCCACTTGACTTTGAAAATATGATACCTTCTCCCACCCATGCCCAAGAAAATTCACCTTTCTAATTATATGTTACTGAAGCATAAGGGTACAAACGTGAGTCCCTGAAATGTTGGTGGTGACCCCTCTGTATAGGCCCTCTTTTCTTTTCATTCTATATGTTCTCCCTGGGTGGCCTCAGCCAAAGTGTCCATGTAGATGCTGTTGATTACATATATGCAGCTTAGTCTGCTCATAAACTCCAGATCCATATGTCCAATAGCCCCCTAGATGTTCTACTTGAAGAACCTTAAATAAGATACCTCAAATTCAGCATGACTAAAATTGAATTAATCATTTTATCTCCTCAAAGGGTCATTCAAATCAAGACTCTGTTCATTACTTAGCAAGGAATTGTTAGTCTTCTAACAGTGTTTGTCTTCTTTGGGGTGTATCACAGAGGCTGTCTTTACCTCCTCATACAGGGAATTTTCAGCTAGAAAGGATCTCCTTGAGGAGAAAACAGACCTAAATGCATCTGCTTCCTTGGGTTGCAAGGTCTCCTAATAACAAAGAATAAAAAATTTCCACATTGGGACCCCTGTCTGCTCAGTGACACCAAGAGAGGGCCAAGAGAAATTAAGCAGGAAGTGGAGCTGCAGAATGGGCTTGTGGTGCTGGGTCAGGCTCAAGGAAACTTGGTGGGCTGAGGACTGGTAGTCTGTGTCTTCCTGAAAGGCCAGGAGTTGGTAGGCCCCTGTCCAGAAGCTGCCATGAGTGGCAAATTAAGAGAAGCTTGCTCTTAGGGTGCAGGCCATCCTGACTCAGAACACTGCTTTGCACGCACACATCTCACTTAGACTGTCATGTAAAGACGTGTTGACTGTCGCTTGGTAGTGTGTATTGTATCTCATTTTCTTGAGCCTGTTCTTTATTTCTCTGTCCTTTATCCCTTAACTTTTTTGTTCTTTCTTTTTCCTTCCTTCTCACGGCCTAGGTCCAAATTATGACTCCACCACTTCTTACCTGAGTGATCTTGGGCAAGTTACTTAATTTTCCTAGCCTTGTACTTCTCATCTTCAGAATGGAGACAAAAATGCCTTCTTATTGTCATGAAGAGTAGAGACAAT